TCATGAACCAATGCTGAGATCAAAGCTGATATTTGGGTACTTTCTCAGTCCTAAGTTTCGTGTTTGACTTTGCCCAATGCCCATTGCTCCAACATTTTCTGCTCCCATTGTGAAAGCTATTGCAGGTTTTGTGACGATAGTGAACACATATGTTTCGGCAAAAGTGGCGCAGAATACAAAAACGTAATAAACGACAAATTACAGTAATTCAGTATCCATGCTCAATTTTTATTCAGCAACGTCTCCGGAACATCGAACGTGTGCCTGTATAAACAGACATCCGTGCGTCTATGTCCGTCCATTTATGACTGTCTGTGAAACAGCCATGCGTTGGAGGTCGATAAACGTCACACATACATGAGTCAGTCTCCAATAAAAAGGCCGACAGACGGATGTTATCGGTGTTCATACACGGATATGACAATGTATTTGCTTACTATCTCCATTCACACAGTGGCGCATCCATAGCTACGCCTCTGCGAAGTAGGTACAGGGTGTCGGTACTGATTTGTTTCTTGCTGACCTCCTCTTATGTACAGGGTGGAAAGTAATTACGCGAACATACTTTTTCGTCTTATAGCAATGGAAAAAGCGGCGGGTGACATGAAAATTTCATCCTTTCATATATTCCTATTTATGTGCGATACACTGACAAAGGCGTTCAGGCATAATTGACATGAGCATGTCAAGCACTGTTGGCCAAAGCTTAGTCCACGCCTCCTGGAGCTGTCTGGTGAGGCAATCGATGTTGGTGGCTACGAACAGCTCTTAGACGCTCTCCTGAAGAGTCGCCTGGATATTTTTGATCAAATTGAGGTCTGGGCTATTCCCAGATTGACCATTATATGCCCAGAAGAAGAACAGGTTCTCAAAGCACCAGTCTTGCGTCTTTTTGGCCGTGAGAGGAAGGACTGTATCAATCATGAAGAAGAGTTTCTTTGCGTCGGGCACAAAAGTGCGCTCAATCATTTTGCCCCTTTTGGTGCATTGGTGGATTAGATAAAGAGACTCGTCTGGAAGGATGTTCCACTAGTTGTATACTTTATTTTTGGTTGCCTTTTTGGTCACTACATGCTATTCTGACACCATCCGGGCGCTCATAACACGCTGATGTGTGTTCCTTTGCCGGATGTTTGAAGGTTGGGAAGGGGGGGGGGGACGTCGGACGCATCAGCAGCCCCCAACGCGTTGTTCTGCAGGTTTGACGGATGAAATAGCTTCGAAGATGTCTCACCCAACCACAAAGCCAGCTGCCTGTCCTCCTCTGTTCAGGTTTGCCGGTCTTTAGAAAACTTAAATTGAAAATCCTGCTGTTAATTCATGAATTTTGGCCATCTCGATTGTTTGTACGGCTTGATTTTCGAATTTTCACGGATTTATGCATGAATCGTGATATCTTAGATCGGGTACCCGTCCATAGTAAACCATTTCGCCTGTTTTCGGATCGACTGTTGTCGTTTGGTCGCGGAAATGGTGACCACCCATTCGGCGCCTGAATTCGCCGAGGTTTTACTGCCGCCAACGGCTTTGCTTTTTAAGTCCTCTTAAGTTTTATTATGCTTCAACCAAACGTGTAATTGAGTAATGCTGGTGCCGAGACCGTTCCGAGTCCCTTCCGCACCAATCCAGCCAAAATAATCACAAACGCTTTCCCTGGCAACACCAAATTGCGATCTTTGCACATTGTGGTCTTGTGCAGCGTATGGCGTCTGCACCATTCGAAGTCGAGACGTGTTGTAGACCTTCCAAGTCATTTTTCAAAGTAAGGTCACTTTTGGTAGATGAGGCGACAACAAACACGACCAATCATGTTCCATGACAGCCTGCGCTCATACAAAATCTCCACTGACGGGCGAAATTGTAAGAAAATACATGTTCGCGTAATTACTTTCCACCCTGTAGTTCAGTAGTTTCGTGCTAACGTCATTGTTGTCCCTCGTCAGACCTTGAAGCAATGGTGTACAGTCTGTCTTAAAAGTATCGCGCAAATTAACGGTGGATCCATCAAACCTGACCGAGGAAGGGCCTGCTATAATTTGAAAGTCACCGAACCAATTGACCTGGGGAATGGACGAGGATGTCCATTGCTTCGGTGACTCAACTTTAGCAGGCCCTTCCTCGGTCAGGCTTGATGGATCCACCGTTACTTTGCGCGGTACTTTTAAGACAGACTGTAACTAAATATGAAACGATTAGGTATTTGGAGTGTCTAGTCCATGGTTCTACAAACTGTTTGAAAAACAGGCACACTTATTTGGCAGAAAATAATAGCTTGTGAGCAGTGACATCTTTCCTTACTTTGTTAATTGTTCTGTGCGATTAAAGCCTTAGCGCATCTTATTCTGTGGCTAAGTGATGCACGATTACTACACTAGCGACTTAGTTAATTTGTGAACAAAACTTAACGCATCCGTGATAAAAATTTACAAATTAAAGGATATCGCACGAAGAACAAGTGGCTTGATATAGCTGTCAACGGCAATGGAGTGATAGCGTTGGCAATTGGCATAACGCTTTTAAATTACAAAAATATGCAATTGTTGGCGAGCATTTCGACACCGTTTAGGTATATCCGTTTTTAGGCGCATAGCCTAGAAACAGGAATGTTTTGCGAAGTGAATCGAAACTTGGAGGTGGAAAGTGGACGATTAAAAGTGGACGATCCTAAACAACACCACTCTGACCTCAAGAATGATACGAAAATAGGAAACCCAGGGTCCCATTAAGTGTACCGTGGAAGTGAGACACAAGTTATTCGCCTGAAAGACCAAAACATTTGCGATCGAATGTCTAATATTCGTGGAGCTTGTGAGAAAAAAAGACAGGCTTAGTTTGCACGGTGAACAGTCAGAGCGGTCACCATGCGGTGAGCACTGCGTGCATGGCACAGACAGGCGCCTATCTACATATTTCTAGCTCGGTATCCAACTAATCCACGGCTCTCAAAACCAGGATACCTGTCAAGACTGTTGTCCGAAGATAGTTATGTCATGGTTTATGGTCGCGATGCTCGAACCGCCGCTTGCCAATTCTCTGGGGCCCCTCAGGGGACACTGGTGCCGTAACCCGAGAACACGGCTTTAGATAAATCGGTTTAGACAATATCGTTGTTACCTGTCAAGTTTCGTGTAAGCTATCCAAACAAGCTAAAAATAGTTGTTATTGAGGAATGTTCGCTATCTTTTTCTATATAAACGGGCTCAAGGTCACGTGCTACAACTGATTGCAAACAACATAATAAGAAACCCATTATCTGTGCTAAGCGGGGATGAATCCCAAGATCTTCTGGTGATTTGGACAATCAAACCACATTATAACAAACGTTCTGTATTGTATTACACAAAATTAAGGTAGATATAGGTGAATCCTGAAACCCAGTCACATAGCATTAGTTTATCGGTCCCGGTTGAATATCCGCTCTCATGGGATTTATCAGTTGACCGTGTGGACCGTCACGTCTGATTAGGTTATCAACGGGCTTCGGCAACTAAAGTCCAAGTGGCTACGGAGAATTGTAATAGACTTGATACAGAGTTCAGACTCTCTTATCTGAAATAGAACTGTTATTGGACATAGCTGTATCCTAAGTCACAACTAGAGATTGCAATCCCGGGATCGGGATCCCGGGATCCCGGCGGGATTTTAATCCCGATCCCGATCCCGAAATTCCGCCAATCCCGGGATCCCGAAAAATCAGTTTTTCACCATAAAAAGAATGCAGCCGCTGCACGAGTCTTGTTTACACTGTTCATGGTGCTGCGTGACATAAAGCAGAGAAACTATTTAGCTGGCACCCCGTATCGGCCGTCCACAATCGACCGTGTTGGTAGCTCCCGGGTATCACCCACAGCGGATAAGCCGCTTAAATGTGTACGAAAAAGGGTCCCGAACGCCAAAAAAATTGCAGCATCAGTGCAGCAACATCTCTATCAGGGTCACGGATCGTTCAGCAGTTCTGACTTATCCGTCCGTGGCCGGAACAAAAGAGGTCATCAAGACAGTGTTTGAGCTCGTGTCGCAGAAAGATGTCACAGATGTCACGCAAGTGACGGCAGAGCTCACCGATTCAAACGTTGAAGACGGTAGAGTGGAGCTCTCCCAGTCAGTGACTCTGCCCTCAAAGCGACTTTGGAGCAAAGTCTGAGAGACATTAGTGATGAATGAGCGGAACCGGGAGGTGAAGTGACCAAGCGACGTCTTGAAAACATTGTGAAATAGGGAGCTGCCAAATTTGGCGTATTTACACTGGTCGCGAGTAGTCAGACCTACCTGCAATGGCTTAAAACTGTCGCGCTAATTACGAGTAGCGTAGACGAAGAGTGAGTGAGGCGTGGATGTGCTGGAACCCGTCTGAATGACGAGATAGAAAACGCACTGGTCGGCGCACAGTTTTATTAAGGCCAATTGGGGTAATGCTAATCAAATCGGAACGTTTCTTTCGCAAATTCAATCGTGTTTATTGCAAATGAAATGGTCTAGGGATGGCTTTTGGTTGCCTCTTTGTTTGTGGTAAGCTAAAAGACGCAAAATATGTCAGCAGGAAATTATTCTTACGACCTACAGTGACAAGACCGGGATCCCGGGATCCCGGGATCCCGAAATAAAACCTTTCGGGATCCCGGGATTGGCAAAACGTTCCGGGATTGCAATCTCTAGTCACAACAAACTAGCATCATTTAGTATAAGATTTATGCAAGCCGATCCGTTCACCTGCTATCGATTGGATTGATAAAATTTTGATTTCACACATGCTCACCAACAACGATAAAGAAGCACAGAGAGTACAGTTATCAAAGTCTTCTCGCTCTCTAAGCTGATGTTTGTGTTAGCGTTTAGCGAGAATTGTGAGTCTGCACGGCTGCCGTGAATATGTTGAGTACGTAGGTATTGCGACAGAGTAGGTTTAGCAAGCTGGGTTTGTTGCACGAAGATCACCAAGTTAGTTCATTACGTGGCACCTTGTCACACCAAAACAACCGAGCACACAAACAACTTCAGACATCTTCAACGGCTCACCCGTTTATTTACACACAAGGTCCCGCCCGCAGTGAGACGGTCAGTTCAGTTTGGAAGACGGGTTATGGGCGGTTACCGCCCGCCAACAATGATTAGCACATGGGCGACCGTTAATACCAGGAAGCGGTTACGGGGCGTCAAGTTAGGCGTCATGTCCCAGCCCACACACTAGAGAGAGCGGGAAAACGCCCCAGTTAAATAATAATCATGTAGCTTATGGAAGCTACATGCAGATTCTCTATATACAGACACAGACATTTATACCCACACTCAGCCACAAACACACCGTTTAATCACAAATGGTCATCTCTGGAGCGGTCAGTACTGGAAAGCACTAAATTGGCACGCGTCAGGTATTATTTCTTTACTCCGATCACACATGTTATATACGGGACTCCGGCTGCCGAATATCGTTGCCCGATCGGGGCGCCGCCGTGGTCGATCGGCGAACCAGAGTTTCCGCTCTGCGCTCACTAGATGACACTCATGATGTGGGGGCGGCGGCCGAGTTGCGGTCCCAGGTGCGGACGCGGGCCACCAGAGGGCTCTCGGGCAGGGGTTCTCGGCGGCGGGCCGGGCTGCGGCGGCTGCCGAGACTACCCTCGCCCTCCGAGCCGGCTGGTGAGCTCCGCTCCTGCGCCGCCCACGGCCAGTCGCCGCGCCGAGACGGACTCGTGTATATCTCATCGTTGTACCTGTAATGGGACGGAGAGTCAGCTGAGTGAGATGCTGAGCCCGCCGAGACACCATTCGTCATGCCAGCACCGTGCGCGCGCGGCGGCCGGTCGTCTCGCTCCGCGCTGGGGCGAACATTCACCTTGACGATGCTGGGCCGCTCTCCGGAGCGGTAGGACTCCTCGCTGCGCAGTCGCTCCGAGCGACTGCTGCCCGCTCCGGCCGGCTGCACCCGCTCCAGAGGCGGCGGAGGCGTGATCAGACCCGAGCGAGGCGACGGCGTCTTGCTGTCCTTGCGCTCGTTGCCATGCAGAACGTTGTACAGCTCAGGGGCGTTCTTTAGGAGGCCGCGCATGAACGAGTCTTTCTTGGCGGCGGGCGGAGCGGCCGGCGAGGCGCGGTAGGAGCGGGACGAAGAGGAGGTGTGTGACATGCGCTCCTGTTCCGGTGGCTCACCGCCTTCGCCGCGCCTCATGCTGGCCGTCCGCTGGATCTTGGAGATGATGTCGGGGCTCTTCAGGCCAGTATTGAAGGCACCATCCTGGCCATCCTTCGAGTACAGACTGCTGCTGCGCTGGACGCCCAGACGAGCCGGTTTCTGTGGCGCCGGACCACGACCGTTGTTTTTCACCGACACGTTGATCATACTGCCGCCGAAGCGGCCTGCGTCTGGCGCTCGGGACACAGGCGAAGGTGGGTAGTCGTGTGGCTTGCGCGGCAGCGTCTGAGACTCGAAGGTGACCCTCTCGGGAGGTGCACGCCTGTCATCGGAGCCACGTCGATCCAGGAAGTCGGTACTGCGGTGATGATACCTCACGCGCCTCTCGGCGTCACTCTGACGCGAGCTGCTCAGCTCGTCAATACTGGCGGTACGCTCGCGAGCTCTGACCGACTCCGGGACGTACCGCCTCTGGCTGCCATCCCTCTCGTCACTGTAAGAGCCGTGACGGGAACCGTGCTGCTCGCGGTACTCGTATCTGGAGATGGGAGTGTTCCCGCGGTCGGAGCTTCCACCGCTGAAGTGGTACTCCCTGACCTGCCTGCGTTCCCCACGACGCTCCTCTGAGGGGTAGCCGTCACGCGGGTCTCGCTCGAAACGCTCCCTGATTGGAGAACTGGCGTAGTGATTGTCGGGCGCAGCGTTCATGGGAGACTCCTTGTCGCGTCCCTTCTTGCGGTGGCGAGGTGGCGGAGGCGGTGGCGGTGACTGGGTCGGAGGGGATAGTCGTCCGCTGTCTGACGGTCTCCTCTCCGGGCTGGAAGCCTGGAACCGCACGTTGCCTCGTGGTTTGCCCGAGCTGAACTTGCTGGCGAAGATGGGATCTTCAGACTCTCCACGAGTGTCTGTAGATACGAGACTTGGCCGACGAGGACCCGGGGATGCGCCGACGGGCGTCACCTGGACCCGCTCGAACTCGCCACGAGGCGTGTGACGCGTCTCCTTGACGTTAGTATGCTCCGGAGTGTGACGAACCTGCTTCGAGTACTTCTCATCTCGACGCCAGGTGCCGGTAGGTGTCTGATCCGCGCCGCCGCGGCGGGACGAGCTCTGCTGTACCTCGTACGAGCTGGTCTGCCGACGGTCGACCTCATCCCGTCCCTGGGCCAGCCGGCGGCGGGACTCGCCGTCCTCCGAGCTGGCTGACTGACCCGACTCGCTGCCAAAGTGCGAGTCCAGCCACTTGTGCGTCTCCTTGCGACGAGTCTTCTCCTCCTCCTGGTACTCGATCGGCGTCTTGGCGAGCGTCTGGCCCTCGGGCTTGTAGCCCAGCTGCCGGAGACGCCGCATGCGCTCCGACAGACTCTCGATGTTGTCGTCTCCCTCGCGGTCCTCTTCGACGTTCTCCTGAACATACCTGAAGGCAAAGGGAAGACGGGGAGTTAGTCGGAGGCACCTGTAGATCCGTAAAGATCCTTAGAGAACTGGGAGCGGCAACTGCATTCCTGAGAGGCAGGCAGATGTTGTCTATCGTGCAGGATACACATGTCATGCATCAATGCAAAATCCCTAAAATCGGGTCATCAAGCGCTTTACAGCTTAGCTGATTCACCTTGAAGGAACGAAAATAGCATGACTATTTATTTCTCGGGAGACGAGAAGGGTAACCAATGTCACGTAAATATCCAACCAGGAAGGAACGAGGAAATACCAGTCTGCTCTAGTTGGAATATTTACAAAGAAGAAGGAAATGTTTTAAATGCTTCGTACTTTTGTCGTGCATTATAAACTTTGCCCTTTCATCGCATGCCAGCACACAGTACATGCTCTGCAAGCCAGCTCTTTCTGCGAACCTTTCATTATCTTTACACACATCACGGAACCTGTATTATACCGGCTCACGAACATTTAACCCTATTCCTGGCGGGCTCCGCCGGGACAAGAAACTGGCGGGGGGGGCCGATTCGGCCCCCCCTTCAGATCTCAAAAACTACACATCGCAGCGACAAACGGTAAACGGCATCGGATACGCACGGTCAAGATCTACAATTTTTACAAAGGTCATTTTCAGGTCAGGTCAAATATGACGTCACAGGGGTCGAAAAAGTCAAAATGGTGGCGCTAGAAATGGAGAGAGTTTTTCTCGAATAACTTTCGAATTAGTCAAGATAGGAACAAACTAAGGGCATCATCGTGATCATCTCGTCAATCCGCATCGAATGATATATATGTTGACCTCGAAAGGTCAAGGTCAAAGGTTGACCTCAGGTCACGTGACCTTGAGGTCATCATGTATATCATTCGATGCGTCTTGACGAGCTGAACACAATGAGACCATCCACGCGTCTGTATCTTGTTCCTGTACGGAGTTATTGGCCAAAAACCTTTGGTGACCTTTGATGACGTCACATGACCTCAGAGCTGCCCAACAGCAAAACAGACCTCAAGGTAGTGAAGGTTGATCGTATATGAAGTCATGTATGGTATATGGGGCCATTCCGACCCGTTTTAGTGGTAAAAACAGGGAGTTGATTTTTCCCCCATTGACTTATAATGGAGAGGTGGCGAAACTGATCTGACCTTAGGTCACCGATATCAAAATTCCGAGATATACAAATTGCACATACTGGTACCCTAACTAAAGCCTGAAGAGAAGAAATTGATCGGTCAAAAACTCTAGCTCTGGCGTGATTGCAAACTTTTCTGAGGTAGGGTCACCAAACCGCCTCTGGTGACCTGACCTGAGGTCAGATCAACTCAAAATTTTCAGACATGTTGCGTAGAAGCCTTTTAGGAAAAGTCAGAAAATTTGAGCTTCCTAGCACAACGCGTTTGGGAGAAATAACCAAAAAACCTCAGGGGGGGCTCCTGAGGCCCCCCCCGCCAGGAATAGGGTTAAAGCCAACAAAAATTTGACCGTGGTGCTTGGTACCATAAGCGCACCCTGTCGAACTTTAACATCGCGTCGTTGCCCGTTTATCGTTCTCACCTGAGACCCTCTCCGAGCTTGATGCCGTCGCCGAGTCGACCTCCCTTGGGGACGGAGTAGTACTCGAGCATGTCCTCATCCTTGACGTGGCGCCGGTGGCGGCTGGTGGTGCGGTGCTGCTCCTCGGCAGAGCAGTCCGAGCCGTCCTCCGGCACCTGAAGGGGGCAGGGTCAGAGGTCAGGGGTCAGCGGGTAGAGGTCAGAGGTCAGAGGTCAAGGGTCAGCGGGTAGAGGTCAATCCTGGTTAGAGGCCAGGGGACACTGCCGGTCGCTTGTATCCTTGTGATGTTGAGGGCGTCAAGTGTCAACAGGAGACGGACAACAGGATTGAGAGAGCGAGTGCAGTGAATAAATTGATACTGTCATGAATGTCGTGGTACTTAAAATACTGGACGTAAAGGTACTTAGCTGGACATGATACATCTGTTTGAGTCATGCCATGAGTGGCATTCGTACGGTTAGATCCGCAAGTGTCGACTCACAGTGGCCTATTACTACGATATAGGCCATATTATACTTTTAAATTGACTTTCAGCCGCAGTTTTTCCTTGGCAAGATCCGGAGTGTAGAGTAACTAAAGCAGGGCAAACGCCCGTATGGCTCCGCCAAGCCAAGTGAAGTATCCACTTGGCATTGCGCCAATGGGGGGACTTTCCAAACCACCCTACTTCAACGGCTTAGCGTGCATATATATCGTGCGAGTCTTTTCCCGACCCAATCGTGTGTCATTGGTCTACCGCAAGGCTACGGGCATTCAGGACATTCTAGCGAGAAAAAGTTTCTTAAGTTGTCATAGGCTAGCTGACCAAGTCAAATATTTGGTAAAAGGTTAGGTAGTTTATCATGGCTATATGGTCATTTGGCCCAAAAACAGGTTATAACTGTGCAGAGGAGCAAGGTTGCTGTTTTTACTGCCTGCTGGATGGGACGATCGAAAGCGTATTGATTTGTGACTTTGACTGATGTAAAAATATTGCAACGCATGGCCGGTTATTTTCGCCAACAAAACTAATGGTCTATCGTTCGAGGTAATCGGTCCAATCAGTTTTGCAACTAATGCTCGGTGACCGGTTGACTCTGGTTGATATAACTGAGGTGGAGACCACCAGAACGTGACTAAATTCTGAAAAAAAAACTGAGAAAACTAACGGCTATCGGTCTTGCACCGTTCGTTTCCCTGGCGAACTCTAACAATTGGCAGTAAATTATCTCGGCTAAAAATCACTTGTGCTAATCACCAGCGAATGAGTGAAAAGCCGGCGGCGCGGTGCCTGCGCCGGTCCGTGTCACGCGAGCCGTCAGATGCACGCGGGAATGTGTCGACGGCTCGGCTAACCACTAACCACTAACCAGTCCCTTCACTGCGCCGCGCGATAACGGTGACCTCGTAAGGCCGATTTGCCACATATGGCGAAAACATCCACCGCATTGTGTGCACTGATTAAACGCCAGCGAGGACAAAAATACGTCAGTTTTATGCAAGATCAAACACCGATTGAATTCCAGCTTCAGTGTTTTTCATTCAAATCCTCACTCAGTTCTGTTTAGCCTATCGTGCAATCGAGCAATTCAACAGTGTTGCGGAAGTTTGAAAACAAATAACAGCGTCTAATGCCTATGCCAAAGCCTTTGTGCCAGCGTCTATCACTTAATTAGAGAGCATCCAATAGGAGCACATCCGCTCAGTGTCGCTCTAAGCAGCCGGTGCAAGATCGGATTCACTCAATCATTAGATACAGAAGCGTGACGTTCGGCTTGGTTCAGTTCAGTGGAGATTCGCCTTTTTGCCTTCCCAAAGCCGGTCAGTTCACTGGCGACCACAGATTCCTCGTGGTCGGGAGAATCAGCCGTGCTTACCCACAGGTGACCCTGTGCCACTCTGCTTCTTGTTACGCAACAGGTGCGCAATATTCGCACCGTGCCAGCCCATTGCGGCATTCACGGCGTGCCTCTACCGATGGCACCGCGATATCGGAGTGATGGCCAACACTTTTTGTCAACCTGCCCTCTATTTATGACGTGTGCAGTGCATGAACGATGTACGGTATCACTACAAATCAAGTTTTTGTCAGGCTATTATGCGTTCGTCTGCTGCTCAGCATGCTTCCGACGCTCATTCTGATCGGCTCACAACGATGGTACGCGCGATGAGGATCGCGACGCTACGGGACGCTAAGGACCATCAGAAGCTGGTTCAGCTGCTGAATATATCGAGCAAAACCCGCTGTATCACGCGTCGGCCCGGCCTGTCCTGTTCATCTGTTCCATCGCTCGTCCCTCGCTCGCTATCGCTGACCCACCGTTGGTTTGACCGGCCCTCCACCCTGTCCTCTCCCTCCTCCCCGCCCCCTCTCTCCCTCTCTCTCTCTCTCACCCTCTCTCGCCCTCTCTCCTCGTCCCGCCCTCTCCCTTCCGTCTCCGCCTGCCATCTCGGTTGACAGGTGACAGGCGCTGACAGCTGACAGCTCGGTCCACTCGGCAGTCGCAGACTAACGCTTTATGTGGCACGGTGGTCGGAGCGAGCGCGTTTGTGTTTCTCTCTGCGCTGTGTGTGCGAAAGCGGCGCAGCGCACAATGCCGCCTATCGTGACGCACTGTCGGCAACTCGGCGTCAGTGTGATGAGATGGCCATCGGGGCCTGCCTCTGCGGCGGCCCGGTCCGCGCGAGGGTGACTGACACTCCCGATCGACTGATGGGGAACTGCCCGGAGGTCGAACCGGCCCGTGGAGTGAGGTGTCGCCGCGAACGGCTCACTCGCCGCCAGAGAGGAGCGGGGAAGGAAAACGTTGCCGGCGCTCGGTATAGTTGGCAGGTGAGGCTCGGTCCATCATACGGACACCGCGATCAACGGGCCAGTGCAGCGGCCGCCCGACCGGCAGGAATTATCGTTAGCCAGGCCTGACACTGCACGCCATCGCGCCGCATGCGAGCAGGATCAGCTCCGATACCTCGCAGGAAATCAGAACAATGCTATTATGCTTGCAATCGGTGCAATAACCAACGGCTGCTTTCGCAATATCGGACATGTTTTCGATTGGATTTGGGGCTGTGCGTGGTTTTGGCTAATTGTTCCAGCTAGTAAACGTGAACTTGTGAATGATGTATGAGCACAGCTATGCAAATGGCTGACCGATGTGAGGGGCTCGCATTAGCACCATGCTGTGATATGAAATTCATCACACAAGCAGAGCGATCCATGCGTTTATTTAGATTAGTCTTGATGGCTGGTAGGTCATCGCAAGTTTCGGAAGAGATGTAGATTATCTCATGATGGATCGGAACACTTACAAAGCTATTGGCCTACAAATCATTCTCATTAACGTTATCGATATCCGCAGGTCTCATGCGTTACAGATCTGGCTAAATCGAGGTGTTATCAATTTTGATGTGTCATGGCTTCGTATTATACGACTACAATGCTCGCGTTTTCACAAACAGGTTCAATGCTGATTACTGCATTGTTTCAGCAAGTTGAATGAATTTCACTGCACGGGAAACTATATTGGATCGTGCAGTTTGCGATTTCTTTCTCCCTTTCTAAATATACCGGCCCGACGAAGTGACTTGCTAAACTGATGTCGCTCACGACGTGATCGTGTCCTGAAAGTGATAGGCGACGGCGGAATCGACTGGGTCAAGGTTGGACGGAGAGGAAAACGCTGCGATAGGCTTTACGCTACAGCTGACGGACGGTGTAACCGGATAAAAGATCATCCTCTCCAAATATGGACATTGGTTCGGATATGTGGAAAATGTGGGACTTGCAGGTTTCAGTACTTCTGTTCACACGTAATTCAGAAGCAAGGCATTACGTAATACAGAGACAGGCCACTGCTATACGTTTGAGTCCAAACCTACGTGCAACTATCTAATCGACATGTTATCAATGGCTGTTGAATGTTATGCTCCAAACGAAGCAGCATCCGCTCTCACATATTGTATGCGCAACCATCGACTAGCAAAAATCACCTGCCCCTCCCCGAACGCAGTCCACTCACCATAATATTCTGGAACTGCTCCTGCTGGGCGGTGCGGGCCGTCTCCGTGACCAGCTCGCCGTGCTCGTTCTGGTGCGTTTTCTCATGGATATCCTCCGTGTCGACAGTCCGCCTGGTCTTCCCGGCCTGGTGAACCACGCGCCGCTGGCCGCTGCGGGGGTCCACCAGCTGTCCTGAGGGTCCCGAGCCCTGCCGCTGGCGCACCAGAGCTCGAGCGTCTTTCCCGTCCCGGATGACGCGGGTGATCTCCTGAGGGTGGCGGCAGGTCGAATCGGTTAGAGTGGGTGGGGATGGTTTTGACGCCTTCACAGACGGACAAAGTAAAACAGGACCAGTGCTGAGACCATAAGGGTAAGATGGAGCCCTGACAGAATCAACCTGTATCCCAGATCCCTTGAGGGGTTTGCCGTCAATCATTTGGTGGTGGTGTGTTTAGTATGCTTTGATGATTGCAAATGAATTACCGATTGCTACTTTTTCGCCATTTCCGTGTTCATAATGCATGTCACAGGTCCTAAAGTGAAGGTCAGGGACTGACCATCAGTGTTTTGCTTCTTGTTCCGGTCGGGACATCGAACAAAAAAGACCAACATGAGGTCAAGCGCAAGACAAACAACTTCTTATGCTGTATTATTCGAAGTCACTCCGAAGCGAACCCTGGACGCAGCTCTGATGAGCACTCGGAGGACACGTCCCTGAGAGTTCGCGGCGGGGCGCAGTCACAGTCAGCCGGGTGTAGGGTGCCGGTAGAGAGGAACATGAATAAACACGGCGCCAGGGAGACTGGGTGGAACACCTTCACATACAGCAAAGGCCAACGCGCCCGAGTTCACTGCTCACCACTCGACATATACCGCTTGGATATGATATAAAACACAATAGAGTGCAATGTGCATGAGTCAAGCATAATGCATGATTGGCGATAGAGCAGGACATGTATAGTGAAAGTCACCTTTGTGTAAGAGGAAGAGGAAGTGCTCCGATTTATGCACATCATGGACATTCGCTGATTGCTCTAATTCAGCATTGCAATATATCATTCCTGGGGTAGCTGACACTTCACTACATGAAGCATATATGCAACGTAAGTTCATTAATCTCTCCCGGACTCATTCCATACCAGCCGGGCACCTGGAGCAATTCACTGGCTGGTTTGGTGAGCGATAAAGGAACTGGAATCACGCACCATAAAGCAAATAATAGCATATATTACCGTAACTCAAAAGTGCCTCACTATATCGGATTGACATGTCGGACTAATGATCACCATCTGAAATCACCAGTAACTTTTGTTGATAATTGGTTCCACTGCTGATGGCCAGTCCTGATCAGGGCATTTCCAACCGCAAAAACGTGCCATCCAATGAAATGACTGATACGGATTACCATCGACATGCTGTCATTCACCCGCGTATTTTTATAGTTCACTAATTTTCGGTGAACCAGACTCACTAGCTCAGTTTGTATGGGCGCCCGTGTTTATATCACTTGAAGTTGTTTTCCAGAATGTAGAGTGTTATGATGGCTAACAGATTCTAAGCAGGGCTAATTTCCGTAGATAATGGCGATATTTTATTGTTGCCAAAGCCACAACACCCACCATGAATCGTTGTTATTTTTACACCGACATAGATCATTCATAATGTTTGTATGCAATCATTCAATCTGAGATGTTGCCGCTGTTCAGTTGTAGACATCGGACTATAAACGTGTTTGCAAACGTCGCTTCAAGCTTTGAAAAACGCAGCGGTGGTTTTCAGGCTAAAGACGTAATCCGTGCTTCCCCAAACTCCGGTTGTGTCTAAACAAACAATGGCTTGTAGGGCAGTAAGGTGACAGATCTGATCCAGGTAGCAGCACAGGACCTGACCCTGGCGACAGCACCACATCTGAGCCAAACAACAACCTTGTGTGAACCTATTTCGGCACCGGCCCACGCCCTTCTCAGACAACGGTGCTGCATTTAACACGGCCCCCATGGCCCCAGGAGCGGGCCTCGGGCTCAGCTGCCCAGCCAGCCGCCTCTGGTGGGGCTGATATGGCCTCGCCTCGGACATTTGCCAGTCTCGATGGTATCTCGCGGGGGCCACTGGGGACCCTCTGGCCACATGTTGCTCGTACGGTCCACTGGCGGCGGGGTTACGACAGTCTGATCCGATGCCGAGCTGACGTGCAACTGAGACTGATGGGGCCGCAGAACTGGCACAGGGAGATAGATAAGGGCGGGGCACCACAGATAACGGTACTGGACGGGGGCGGCAGGGGAACGAGGGGCTTGAGGGTTGGTTCTTTTCCAAGGCTACTTATTTATTTTCCTTTGTTGGACCTCATATCTTAGAAGCTGATGGGTTATGCGGTATTGATGTCTGTAAAATACGAGCTATTTGAAAAACGTGACATATTTTCCGGCAGCAGTGGTAACCACGAGCCGCAAGTGGAGGAATAAAGTGTTTTGTATTAAAAATCATTTGTAAAAATGCGAATAACCCTCATGCAAGGCCGCGTTTTCCGCACGCGCGCGTGCTGTTCGCCGGGCGGTGAATAGCTGTCTGAGCCGCCGCGGCGCCCGAGAGACGAGCAGATCCGTCTCCGTGGGTCTCCGCTAACCGCACAGCCCGCTCTGATCCCCCGCCGACCGTGCATACCGTGCCGAGACCTCTAAGCAGATTACAGAGCGAGGGCTTGTGGCGTCAGAGACTGAGACAGGCAGAAGGTTGCCGAATAAGACCGATGGGTGCACTTAGAGAGCAGCGATACGAACAGAACACAGCGATGGGAGGATGACAATGGTGAGCCGGGGTGCTGGGAGGTCCGACTACTGGTTTTAGCACGCGCTGGGTGAATTGAAATAGTTGGTAACGCGATTAGAGAGGTATTCTCTCGCAGGAAACAGGTCATAAATCCGTCCAAAATGTGCAGCAATGACAGTTGCAGCAGAATTATCGTTGGGTTTTTAATGAACAAGAAAATGTACGTTTGCAGCCGTAAATTACAGCAAAGAAGCCTGGTAAAATAAAAAAGGCAAATGGATGCAAGATTTTTAGAAGTTAGGTATCATAGCTGCGCAATAGCAAGGTAACGGTAAAGATCTTCTCTGTTTGTTGTCGCAACATCCACTGATGAGGCAAGGGTGTCTTCTCATGAAACTGGTCTTCAGAGTTCATTCGCCTAATATGTCGCCACTGCTCGAGCCGAGCGGTCCGTTGTGTCAACTTTCTGTGGCTGGTAGTCGCCACCACTTCAGTGCAGCATGCAGCGTCCACTGTTCCGTGCCGCCCGTGCCCTCCGCCGGCGACCACTCAGCGCGGCACGAATTATTCGATTCACGGATTGCCAGCCACAAACCGGTTTTGGCCTCGGCGCCACCCATGGCCGGACGGCGCTGGGGGCGGACGGTGCGGGCTCTGCAGCGGTGGCGGGACGGCCGAGCCGGACACCGCCGCGCCGTCCTCCGAACCGTGGCGCCGGGGTGACCCGACGGGACTTTAGCTGAGCACTGCCGCACGGAGACTCCAGGTCCAGACAGTGGCCACTGCGCTGAGGCTCCCGACAAGCCCAGCCAGCCGCCTGGGCCTGTCAAACTGGCTGAGCTTGACAAACCCAACCAGATGTGCCTAGCTAATAAAGTCGCCACATTTTAGCGACTTTATGTGGACACAGCAGCACAGAGACTCAGATCCAGAGAGTTAGATACTGCACTGAGGCTCTCGGCAGGTCCAGTCAGCTCATGCTTTGCGCTCTCCCAGACTCCAATCCAGTCTATGCAAAATGGCTGCGCCCTTTTGCCGATTGGGTATTGTGGAACAGTCGGGCACAGCTCTAGGAGTGGTGCCGCTGCCTTTCAGAGAGCTGCGCCCCTCTACTGATATGACACGGCAGAACAATCCAAGCTGCGACCAACAGCGTGCAGGGCGCCGATGACCAAAGCGATGGTCATGTTCTGTGGCTGGTATGGCACTCCATCTGATGGCACTCTGCCAGCCTGCATTCCTGGGAGGCATCACTGGCGTCCCCGTCGCTCTTCACCGCAATCCGTCAACCAAGAAAAACCGTCACCTCGAGTTTAGCCGAGCGGCGATGATGACTCATCACCTAACGAGCTGTCCCCGCTCTCCCGTCGAAGCACCGCCGCGCGGTCGTTCGTTAGCACGAGGGCGGCGGTTATCGGCGGACGTGCACTCATACAAAGGCAGCGTGCACGCTCAACAGGCCAGCCGGCGCCGCGTGCACGTCTGCTGCAGGACGGGCCGTCCCTGCCTCGGTCACCCATGGCAGCTGGGCACCGAGCAGCCGACCGGCCGGCGGACGACGGACGGAGCTCCAAGGACATCGGCACCGCGACAGCAAACAACCCTCCACCGCAGCTCCCGGCGTGACGTCACCGGTCGCCGGCCCGACGCGTGGGCGGCGGCCCCTGTAATCGTGACGTCATTGACGGGTCGTGTGGGCGGCCGGTCGGCGCGCCCGCCGCCCCCGCCTCGGTCATGACCGGACGACTGGCGTCGCTGACCCCGGTCGAGTGGGCAGCGGCTCGCAGCTGGTGATTTCAGTCTCTCAGCACGTCTAGCTCACTTGGCTCGCCTCATCTTGGCTTGGCTGGATCTGCTCGGCTGGGTTCGTCTATTCCTGTGAGTGTCTTCATCTCACTTACATCTCACTTGCCTCGACTTTCCTCTCTCACCTCAGCGTGACTCATCTCTCGCCATGCTCAGCTCAGTTCTCTCACATCCGCTCACCTCTGCTCATACTTCTCACGTCGCTCATATCTCTCTGCTCAGCTGGTCTCTTACCTTGGCCTAGCTCATCTCTCTCACCTCCCTCCCTCCCTCGTCTGCCAGTCTGCAGAGGTCCAGCCCGTCTGCAGAGGGTGACCACCTGGCTATCTCTGGTCGCCGTCCCTCGCCGGCCCGCCGTCCTTCGCTCCAGCGCTCTCATCACCCGCTGAGGTGTCTGTACTTCTCTCAGTAAGGGGTGGAGATCTCCATAACGGTTGGTAGTTCTCCCGGCACGGGGTGGATATCTCCATATCGGGACGGTACCGGTGCGAGCGGTGCGTGCACGCACTCGGCCGGCCTTGCACGGTGACCTTATCGTCGTCCGGCTGACCGTTTCTGCTCGCTGTGGTCCGGCATATTCCTCCCTGCTGTAATCTTGGTCCGCCGCTGCAGACTGGCGTCGCGGCTTGGCTTCTTTTCTGGTCCACCCTGCGCTGACTCTTTCCACGGACATCTGTAACCGATTGCAGCCTCCGTACACGGACTCGGTGGGGTGGGGAGCAGTTACTGTCAGACCGGTCTAATTGAGCCTCGAGCGGCGGTCAGACCGGCGTCGAATCAGGAAGTGCCGTCCGGTCGGCCCGGGGCGGGCGGCGAGACTGGCTGCCAAAACAAGCTCCTCACTCCCACTTGAGCGCTCACAACAGATGTCAACAGGCCACACGGGCAGAAAAGGTGAGCTGACGTGATGTGGTAACGGTGACATTTAGGCAGACAGAAGCAATGAACGCCTGACAGCATCGGGCAACTATCTCACGAGGCTTAGTGCAAATTGATTGAGGAACAATCTTTGTCAGAGTGGCGTGTTCTTCGCTTGATAACAGTCATTCCGATAGAATGATGATGAATCGGCTGTTTGAAGTCAGCTGACACCGGGACGGGCGCTAACCGCTCTGCAGACAGGCCGTGGGCAGTTCATTTGGCGAAGTCGCGCTCCGCTGCGTCGAACCCGCTGCCCGGTGGTCGGCGCTGCCTCAGTACCTGCCTAGCGTGCAGTGGAGCCTCCGCGGTGGACTCCCTGGCACGGACTCCATGCCACGAAAACCCCAGCGGCAGCCGCCAGCCGTCGACCAAATACGGCGCTACTGCTGTCGGTCCACGAAGACCGACCGGTCCGCCCTCCCTGCACCGAGGGCTTAGCAGTGGCGCCCGGGGCAGGCGTGGGAGGGGTACCGAACCGCTCACCCCATCTGGGTCAACGATACACCCAAACAAAACTCGATAACCGAGTAACGGGACGCTGCAGACCATAGTCGCGAATTTGGTATGATTTGCGTAGTAGTGCTGTGGCTGTGGTTTAGGCTAATCGTACAATTTTAGGCATCAGTAGTGTCGAGTGGTACCATGATAAAAATGTGTCGTATATGCCCACATAAGGCACGTTAAAGGCCGTGAAACTACACCGCCTGATCCCAGAAACACGCCGATGAACCATGTCCGCGGAGCCGGACGGATTATGCAAGGCAAAAAAAAAAACGCACAAGGACGATGTAGCAATGTTAAGATGGTTTAATGAGGTTTAAACAGCTGAATGGAACTGATAACGCCAATCACATGGGGCCCATACGCCGTGCAGGCTCGTGCGATGGACGCTTAGGTGTCGTTGAAGTTTGCAGCTGAAGTCACCGGTTGGTGCTACTGTCACAAATTCTGCTGAAGTTTCCATCAATCCACTCAGCTTAATCTGCAACTGTGCAGTGTGTGTGCACTGTGCACTTGCAGTTTGAAATCCATAGAATTCGTCTTAGTTACGGCTGGATTTTGGTGTTACTGTGCTGTGCGCCAATGCAGTCTCCAGTTGAAGTTCATGTGATTGGTGTTACTGTTCTATGCGCAGCTCAAGTCTCCAGAATGCGGTTGACTCTGGTGCTACTGTTTTGTGCGCAACTGAAGTCTCCCATATCCATGATATGCTGTGTGGTGGTATTGTGTTGTGGGTAGCTCCAGTCTTCATATGCACTTTCCGATGCTGGCGCTATTGTGCTATGTGTCGTTACTCATTGCTGTCTTCCACTGTAGTTATTTTTCTGTCATATCTTCTGCATGAGATTAATGCATGGATACTGTTGATTGCGTTCTTGTTCATTTATTTTTGATCGGGTCTTCCCAGAATTATGAGTTTCACACATCACGGGAAGCGTGATGTAATCGCAGTGTAATCGCCACGCCGATTGTGGATTGCTCTTGATCGTCAATACATACATACATACATACATACAAGCGAGCAGTGAAGTTGTAGGCCGCTTTTTAACGGTATTTGAATAAGTGTCCGTCATGCTAAGGCCATTTCGTGATGTCACGGCTCTTGACTAAACCGTAATAGTATGTCGTCGGCGTGATTTAAAAGTCGATATTCTGCAGGGCTTACGAATGACATAACGGTGACTCGGAGTTCCGTAATTTATCTCATCAACAATGTGCAATATTTCATTATTAATCTGCAAACTCTTTGCATGCTTCTCTGTGACACGAGGGATGCACAATTTGTCTGCGCCCGGAAAATGTGTCACGGTCTAAAATGACCAATAAATTAGGCCGACTTCAGCTCGCAATGCAATTCGCTGTAATTAAATGAGAAACATTTACAAATTGCCGGTCCCGTAGCTCAGTTGGTTAGAGCGTTGGACTCCGCGTGGTGAGAGCACGCGTTCCCGCGGTTATAACAGTCCAGGTTCGAAGCGCGACGGGCGCTCGACATTTATGGGCCTCCTGACAAGTATGGTTGCGGTTGGTGGCAGGCCGTAGCCAGGCGAAGTCAGCGAGGGGACCGGCCGTGCGCGGCTTTGTGCACACGTTAAACTTTGGACTCTAAATTCTGCCATAGAATCGGAATTGCGCGATCGGAGGGTAGAGGGCAGGGTCATCGCAACAAGCTTCGCTTAGCGGTGGCTCTGTCTTTTTGAATCCTTCCCATCAAAAGGTTCGGACAAAATTTATAAAAAAAATGTGACTCTCAGCCCATTGAAGTTCAAGGAACACGCCTGAAAACCAAAGATGGCTTTATCTGTCGTGATTCGGTTACATATGCTACTCTGCTCCGTCTGAAAATGGCGCTGTGCCATTCTGATCAACGCACGGATGCTCTCCTTGCACTGCGTTCTCTCACCTCATTGGAGTAGTTGCCCAGGTGGTGCACCTCCTCCTCCTCCCGCACGTCGTCCCGCTCCTCGTGCGTGTTGGTTATGTTGGTGAATCGCTCCGACACCACGGCACCACCGGGCACCGCCACATAGCCCTCCGGGACGCCGCGGTCGTCACCGTTCTTCTTGTGCTGCCGGGAGGAAGTCAGAGGTCAGATATGATGAGAGAGAGAGAGAGAGAGAGAGAGAGAGAGAGAGAGAGAGAGAGAGAGAGAGAGAGAGAGAGAGAGAGAGAGAGAGAGAGAGAGAGAGAGAGAGAGAGAGAGAGAGAGAGAGAAAGAAAGAGAGAGAAACAGAGAAAGAGAGAGATTGAAGGGAAGGAAAAGGGTAAAAGGATAGCGATGAATGCCTGCGTAAAAAGTCACTTGGAAACAAATTGTCTCGATTCCAGATTTTCGACCAACATGCCAAACGGTGACAAGATGTGTTTGCTGGTATTAGTTGCAAACCAAATGTTCTTTCTGCATGTATTTTGCAACAGAGTACGGTCAGACTTCCGATTTCCAGACCGCTTGCTCGTTAGCCCACATTAGACGAAAGATAAAAACTTTTAACATTGCCACAAACCAGAAGAAAGCATTGCTACCGCCAGCTGGAACGTATGGGAGTGGACATTTCTTTTTTAGATGTGACGATTGATCCGTTGTCGACCGGAAAGAACATTGCTCCTAAGCCGGATCAAACTATTATCGTACAATGAACAAAACAAATATTGCGCGCATGACATGACAGTACACGATGCCCATCGTACATGGTAGTACAAACATTCATGACATTCTGAGCCCCAGAAAGAGTCTCATTCACATCAAGGGTTTCGTTCAAATGGCCATTGATAACAGAATAGCTAAGAAAATGTATCAGTCTGCAGTACTGCTATGCTGACCAACGCTGCAACTTCGTAAATGCCACAACAATGCCATGTTAAAGTATGTTTACTGAGGAAAAAAACATAAGAGAGGCCAAGTGAAAGTGAAAATGAAGTAACCGAAAAAATGTAGCCCATGCCAGTGAATGACCTTGTTATTTGTTAAGTGCTTATTTCTTTTTACAGTCTGATTGCGAGAGAAATTACAACTGGGAATAACTAGTGTATCACGTAACTATGACAAAGACTTTGGAATTCAAATCCGGATCCAACACTAATATTCAGCCCACGAAATAATCATTTTACTTGCAATAAAACATCTTTAATAAGTAATAACACAAGATTGCTTATCCGTCCTCTTAATCCCGTCTCCCAGTCGCTGTTTTGAACACGTGTAGAATGACGGCCATTTCCCTGATTGCACTTTACTGAACGTTGGCCTCCGGTAGCCGACTGTTGACTGGCTCACATCATCAGTGGGGGAGGAAGACGGGGCTGGTTGGCCGGTCAGACACCGCGTGATGTCATAGCACCGTGCAGCGGAACAAAGGCGAGTGGAACCCGTGAGACTGGGCACGTCCGACGGGACTCTCCAGTCGACAGATCAGGAGAGGTGACATGGCGCAACCCTGCGAACACCCACTGCAGTGGCGACATCAACGGAACAGGGTTTTAGGTGAATCAAGTTACTAACAAACCAACCGTTGTGTAGTTTACAGCTCAGCTTCAAAGTGAAATGTAACGCAGTAATTTCGAAATTTAAGTTACTTTCTAAATGGATAATGAGTTTATGTGCCTAAATACCTGGCATTTTAGATGTCTTTGGTATCCAGCAACTTTCAAATTAGCCAAGTTGTGCCTTAGCGAAACGCGCCACAAATGCGAATTGCAATATCGTGCAAACATAGAGAACTGAGTCTGCCCTGTCTTACTCAACCAGGAAGGAAAGTCCAGGAAGTACAATGCTCACACGAAGCCAACTCCGCATGACACTTTTACCACTTTTCAATAACAATAGTCTCCACATCATAACAGGATTTGAATTCAGTCACGATACTTGACGGCCTTCTCCAGCGGTAATAGTGCACCTTCGCTCCCAGGACGACTGATGACGGAGTTTTGCTGACTCAAAACACAGAAAACCTTGGCAGCGAGGCATGTTTGCATTGCATGCTCTCAGACGCATTGCGAAACCGTTCCTATGCATCATAAGTGCAGCTATCGTGTACGTGTGCTGGGTCACAGAAACAGAAACAGAACAGGATACAATGGTATAGCTACGTGAAACATTCAGAGGTCCGGAGTGGCCTACAAGCATCCAGCTGTGCGAAGCCATGTTGAGACGAAGGACACCACACATCGATGAATATCAGTTACTCAACCGGTGTTGAAATTTACAGGAACTGGCACCATCGTTCCATGTTGTCATGTTACAAGATAAATACATGACAGATTCTGATTCAACCAGCTCAGATTAGCATCAGCGACACAAGGTCGGCCAAATCGAGTTGTTGTTCACCGCTAGAACAGCTGCGTAACCAAACTTCCCACCACAAAGCCGACAACGCGTGGCAACACAGACGCCGTTTGATTAAAGCGCATTCCTGCGAGTTATTTCGACCGCTGGTGGTCGTGGCTCGGCGCCGAGGCAGCCATAACTGGTTTGCAGGCGGCACTGGCGGCGCAGCGATGGCGCAGCTGTGGCGTGAGGCGGCGCAGCGGCGGCGCGCTGAGCCGATCTGATCACCTCGCAGCGCCCCTCGCCCTCTGACGGTCTCCGAGCCCAGCCGAGCGGGAGCGGGCCGGTCGGTAATTTGTCAGGTCGGTCACCACCCCCGCCGCTCGTGCACCCAATACACACATCACCAGCCGTCCGGTAGGATGGGAACTGACGTTGCAGCTCGCGCACAGCGGCGTCCTGCTCCGAGGCGTGAGGTGTTTATTACCCGCGGACCATCATTCGTCCTCCCAGCCGCGACTAAAACGTGAGATAGTGCGGACGATCCAGCGCCTTATCGTCACGTTAATTAAAGTCGGAACAAAGACCCACTTGGACTTAGCTGGTGAATCATTAACCATTGAGGTATCGGAGGATCGGACGTGCCGATTGTCGACAAAGGGCGGAGTAGGGGTTCAACCACTGTGCGCGAGCGTAACTTCTGAGTCACTGGGATGCCACCTGTCCCGCGCCGCACGCACTGTGCCTCTGGAGCTGGCTGACGCGAGCTTATCTATAGATATGCCTCACGTCACCAAAAGCCAGGGTAGTCTGGTGGTCCAGTGCCGTGACAATCCTCGACATTCCACGTCATAACGTGTCGGAATTTTGGCATCTGAGAAACGTGCAGCGTCAAATGTGTCCATTCAATTTACAAATCAGAAGCACCACTTGCTCATGCTTTAGAGATATTGCGGGTTTGTTCAGTTGGAAAATGAAGCTCATTCGTGTGTAGACTGTGGACTCCACAGGTCTAGATTGTTTTGTCTGGTGTTGTGCAGGTTTTGCAAACTCAAAATACCAGAAACATCATAAGCCATGGGAACCAGAGCTACAATTCCACCCGACCACAAACAGGGCTGGTTAATACGTGAGTGAATGCTGATTTTCCGCTCACGAAGTCTACTTCGGTAACCATGCAACATTTAATGTACCTACCGTCTGTTCTTCCCGACTGAGTTGGCACTAAATAAACGCCAATAAAAGTATGCGAGAAAAAGCTGCATAATTTGCTTGTGAAAATGATAAAAGTTAGGCAGTTCTGTGACTTGTGAGCTATTGCTCATAACTATCTGAGCACTATCATTTCTAACTATACCTATCGGCCTTCGCTAGCGATTTATCCACCGGCCGGGGATTGGAGCCCTGCTGGCTGTTTTCTGCAGACAACCGATTGGAACGGGTGGTTCGCGTGAGTGGGCGGAGCGATCGGGCGCCCCGAGCGACATCGCTCGAGCCCCGAGCGGCGCCGCCCGAGCCCCGATCACGACCAATGAGCCGCACTAACAGCCCGATCGGCAGGCCGACCTAGCGTGCCATCCTGGCTGCATGGGTGATGAGGCGATGTGGGCGCGTGATGGGTGCAGCTAGGGAATGGGGTGGGGCACAGGTGCAGGGATCGGGATGGGTCAGCTGATCAGGATAAGACAGTCTTTGAGTCTTGAGCTGATGGGGGTGGCGACTGGCGTGCTCCTGGGATGAAACGTGATTAGCGTATGAAGGGAGTGTATGATCAATGATGTGTTTGCTAGTGTTTTATCTGTGTTCCATGTAGCTCTCTCTCCCCCTCTCTCTCTCTCTCTCTCTCTCTCTCTCTCTCTCTCTCTCTCTCTCTCTCTCTCTCTCTCTCTCCTTTATGAAGCCGTGCGTTCTCTGAATTCTCCCTGCGTCCGTCCTCTCCGCGTCCTTCCTATGCGCGCGCCCATGTGTTCTCTGCGTGGGCGTGGGTCAGCCCAGGTGCGGAGATCAAACACAGGCTCCATGCTCAGGGTCGCGGGTCGGCCGGGAAACGAGGCACGCCAACACCGACTCCAGGGTCGGCGATCTCTCCGCAGCGGTCGCTGATGGCCGCTCTCAGGGTCATCTCTCCGTGCAACAGGATCGGGAAGACCGGCCGACACGCGAGAGGAGCTAAACAAATTTCGCGCTCGATTGGTGGAGTTACCCAGCCCGAGGGTTATACAGAGCAGAGAGGATTGTGGGAGATAAGAAGATACTGCCGTATAAACATTCCGGGGTGATAAGAAGATGCATGAAATCATCTTCTCCAGGAATGCAGTTATAAATCGTCCTAAGCTGCTGTTTCATTTAATAGTGCTAAATCAGCACATTTGAAATCATACCCTGTGATATGTTCCGCTCGCATTTCAATACCTGGCTACGATCTTCATTTACAGGTGTAACACCTGCAAATAAACTGCCTGTCCACTGTCCAGCCTACCAAAATAGTTTTGATCTTTGCGCAGCAGACAAAGCCGATCCCCCTAGCGGCGGACTGTCTCCAAATCTACATCAGCAGACAGCTTCTGCTCCCCATAGCGGACAGGCTCGGAATCTCTAGCTGGACAGATCCTTCCCCGCAGTGAACAGCCCCGATCCTTGCCGGCAGACAGCTGCAGCCTTCGAGTGCCGGTGGGCGGACATTCGAGGGGCTCGCCCTGTCAGCACAGGTATAGCCTGCACGGAGACCGGCCCACAGTGGGGATCGGCCCACCGTTCTGGGTCAAGGGAGCCTCAGCAGTAGGGTGGGGCTTCGAAGTAAGCTTTGGCGTCACCGCAGTGGACACAGCTGCAGGGCGATCACAGCTGTTCGGGGAATGTCGACTAACGTAGGGAGATATTAGTCGTGTGAGCTATGCGGCCGCGACTGTGACCTTCCGTGCAGTACCCCTGCAGGGACCTGCATGGTCCGCCCAGTCGGGGTCACTCTCTCGCGGCCACCGACAGTCCCCTCGGCCACCACCCGGCCGCGGCCGGCACTGGCCTTGGGGACCGCTCCGTCCGGCGCGGCGGCACGGACCGGTCCGGCCGCCCACCCTCGCCGCCCGGTCACCAGCCAGCCCCTTACCTTGAACACGCTACGGATGTTGCTAGCGATGCCATGCAGCACGCCCTGCTGTCGCCCCGCCGGTGGAGCGCCCGCCTCCGTCTCGCCGGCCTTGCGGCCCTTCAGAATGCCTTTCCGTTTGACGGTGATGCTGGGTCTCCAGACGGTACGCGTGTGAGGCCGCTGCGGCGGCGGTCGGCCGCGGTGCGGGTTGTAGGCGTATATCGTGTCCGATCGGTCAGCAGAGCTGCGAGGAGGGCTGCGACGCGGCGGACTCGGCGGTCGCGGGCTCTCAGCCGCCGGAGGCTCCAGCAGACTGGGCTGAGACATGGCCCGCTTGGCTTTGAGCGCTGCGGCGTTAGCGGCTCTCTGTCCCGGCTCCGGCGAGCCCGGCAGTCGCACTGGAAGCTGGAACGGCAGGTTGGCGTACAGGGTAAACGGCTCCTCAGGCGCATCTGGCTCATCCCGTGGGAACAGCAGTGACGGCTGCGACTGGCTCAACGCGCGCCGGTCCTGCAGGATCGGCTGGATCGGCTCCTCCTCCTGAGGAGAGACCGGCCGACGCCGCAGGGAGCTAGTATCCAGCTTGGGCGGCACGGGCGGCTCTAGGTCAGGTGACTCCTGCTCCTGTCGCGGAGGCTCAGGTCTCCTCTCAGACTCGTGGAGAGGTGTTGAGTGGGACATACTCCGAGGCAGGCCGGGTGCTGGCCTCTCCGGCTCCGGCATAATGTGTGGAAGGACAGCACTCCTGCCTTCCCGCATACTAACCGCATGCCGACCTCCCATGTCCCTCGGGTCCCGTGGAGGTCCCCTAGCATCACGTGGGTCCCGAGCACGTCCGGCCGACGGTCTGCCCAGCGTGCCCCAGCCCATGTTGGACAGTTTCCTGGACAGGGTAGTACCGCTCGACCGCCGTTTTCCGCGGGGGAGTGACATGTACTGTTTTTCATCCTCCTGTCCAGCCGGTGGAGGTCTCGTCTCCGCTGTCAGAACATCGATCGACTTGGCGGGTCGGAGCCGACCGCTGGGCCGTGGCCGTTCTGGGGACGACGATGAGGACGAGGCCCGTTCCCGTCTCCGAGAGCTACTCGGCTTTGTCCGCACCGGCACCGGCTTTTCCTTCGGTTTTATCGACAGCTTTCGTCGAATAAAGTCCATCACAGTCGATTTATCACTGGCCTTTGGCGCAGGCTTGCCGGATCCCCTGCCGGGGGTCCGATGGGACCGGGAGCCGGCCCCTCGAGGTCGCTCCTGTCTGCTCTCCGTCAGCACGGACAGATTCGTGACCGTCTCGGATAGAGAGCCATCCGAGTCTGCCCTCCAGATAGGCGCGCGCGGCGCCGGCGAGCTAGAGAGCTCAGACGGCGGGCGCGCTTTGAATGGCGACACGCTGCGAGAGGACGTGGTCCGCTCCTTTCCTGGAGAGCGGCGGCTCGCGAGGGACGGCGAGCCGGACGGAGGAGCGCCATTCCCTGGCCCGCGCCGCTCCAGTAGGTCCACACTGGCTGCCCTCTGGGAGCGTGGCCCCCGCTCCGGACTGGAGGCGCGCCGTGGCGGTCTCGGCAGGGTCTGAGAGGTCACCGGACCGCCGTTAGCCGGTCTCCTCAGCGGTGGGGGTCCACCCTCCGGCCGCCGGTGCTCTACACCTCGCATTAGAATCACACCTGGCTGGCCCTCGTCTCCGAACCGAATCTCTCTCCGGCCTGAGTCCTTCTTGGCTTGTACTGACTTGGAGCGTTTCAACGTCAGCTTGGGCTTCCATGAGAAGAAGGATGACTTTGATGTGGCGGTGGCGGTGGCGGTCGAGGTGCGACGCTGACCGCCACCAGAGCTTCTGGGGGTCCCGCGCGAGCTGGGACGACTACTGGTTCCTGCTCGGGTCGACTGCCTCACCGGTGGCCCTCCTCCAGCGGTAGATTTGGCTCGTCGGGTCGACTCCCGTCGGCGAAGGATCAGCGCCTTGGACGACGCTCGCGATTCGGGCCGGCGCAGTTTGTGATGTGATGCTCGCGGTCCGCTCCGACGTGAAGAGGCCTTGCCACTGTGAGCGTCCCTCGAGCCACGAGACGTGGGCCGACCGAGACCCATCCCCAGACCAGAGCCAGAGTTGTAACTGCTCTTGGACGCCCGTGAGGAGGGCCTGCTGAGCTCGTTCTTGAGCGGCCGCCGCGCATCTTTGGCCGAGAGCAGGCTGCGTTTTGGCTTGGGGATGGGGTTGGCCTTGTAGGAGGAGGGCGGCTGCGGCTGCGGCACCAGAAGGGACGATGTGCGCTTCACGCCACCCGGCTGCTTCCTGCCAATAGTGGCGTACTTGACGGGAGGGTTCATCGAGTTACTGTTGGACACGTAGCCGCTGGAATTCTCCATGGGCTCCGGTGAGTCCTTCTGCCACATAGACATTGGCTGCGCGACACCAGCCACACAGGTCGTCCGCTCACAGGCAGCAGCGCGCGACACACCTCACAGTCACAGTTCACAGTCCCAAGGTACCGGCCGAGTCACAGTCCACAGCCACAGAGTACCGGCACAGTCACAGCTCCATCGGTGATACCCCACGCGTGCGGTTCGGATGACGGCAGCGACGCTGCCTCTCGGGCGGCGCGCCGGACACTACTGCAGGCCGCTGGCGGCGGCGGCGGCGGCGGCGGCGGGGAGGCGATGACGTCACGGCAGAGCCGATAAGGACCCGGCTCGCCGATCTGGCCGCCTGGACCGGCCCTCCGCCAGCCCGGGGCACCTGCTCAGCTCACGGGGCCCCAGAGAGCTGCCGGGACCCGCGGCGATGTTTGGCCGCCCTGGACCCCCGCTGGGCCCTCAGATGTGACCAGCTGCCGGCGCCGGGCCGGGCCACTGTCGGCCGGCGTCAGACCATATAGGGAGGGGCGAGCCGGGCGACCTCGGTGCTGGAGGCGGCCCGGACCGCCGGCTGACTGACCACCACCACTGACCGACGGCCCAGGGGTGGAGTGCGGCGCCGTGGCCGTGCGTTCGTCCACCGATAACGCCCCTGCCGCCGTCCACCGGCCAACCCGCCCTCTGTCTATTGCCGCCGAACCAGACCGTTTGTTCTCAGAGGTGACTTTTTCCGACCAGCTTAATTGGCAGACAGCGAGTGGTGCTGGCAGACAATGATTCGCATAAATTTGCTTCGGGAGTGGTCGGCGATGTAAAAGGATTGCTAATGCTGACATTGCTGCAGGCTAGCATGTATCCAATCCTCATGCTAAAACGTTTAACGCTTCCAACGGGACATTTAAGTAGGAACATGACATTGACGCATGCATAATACATATATTTGACGTAAAAATAGCTATTTACTAACATGGGTTGTAGTGCAGGCACATATATTCCAGGATGCGAATTTTTCAGCATTCCTTATTCCGAGAATCGCGATGTCATTCCATTTCGTGGAGCTGCGATGCGCTGGAAGCCTGCAGGGAACAACTCGAACCATCCTACTATCTCTATCAGCTATTCAGGGAAAACGGCGGCCGGAATCCAACCTCCCCTGGATGACGTCACCGGGCGCCAGTCAGCTGACTGCGCTCAGCTGGCACCTGGACAGGTGACAGGCGACTGTCAGCGTGACAGACGCGTCACGACCTTCCGTCACGGCTCACCCGGCGGGGAGCGTTGACAGCCGGCGGGAGGCCGAACGGTCACACTGCCATATATGAATATGAAGCGGGGCACGTGCCATGCCTGGGAGGTCGATCGGACCGGGTGGCGAGTCTGAGTCACGCCGGGCACCCGTCGCGGCGGCGGCGGCGGCGGTGGCGGTGGTGGGCCCCGGCCCCCAACTACCGCCCACCGTCTGCACCGCCACTGTCGCCGCCAACGGGACTAACCAGTCGCCAAGGTTTTTGTCCATTGATTGGGTGTGTGTCGCGAGACCTTGGTCACTCGACTCGGTCGGCCCGAGGTGGACACATTTTCACACAGACGGCGGTCAGAGTCGGTGCTGGAGTCGACCAGTCTGAGTCATGGGTGACGAGCCTGCGTCATAGAGTACATATGCATGAGAGGTCATAGCCGTTTCGACATGCCACTTCACGCGCTCTGAGAAAGGTGGTAAATGGAAAGTGGTAACCGGAAAACAGCCAGGTCGGTGATGGCCGGATCCGGATAGGCATTATAAATAGTCTATGACGTGCTGTTTGACAAATATCTTGGCAGAAAGCTGGTATGACGCTGGAGAGACTGAACATTATAAAACAAAACTTTGGGGTTTATATCATTCATAAATGAAACAAATCCAACAAAGAAAAGAATCCTTTAGCAATACGGATTGTTGAACCGGTCAGTGTGCACAAATTAAAGGATCACCACTGTAATCGTCTTATGCTTCGTTAGTCATGACTTACGTTAAATCCAATTTCAAACCTCAGGAACTTTTCGAACACAGCAACCATTGTTTCATAATGAATCATTTGAATGCTAGAAATTGGCGTACCGTTAAACCGGTCCAAATACATTTTAACCCTAGAACGCCTAGGGGGGGGGGGGTTGTATCAACCCCCCCTGAGGTTTTTTCGAAGTGCACGATAAACGGCTTGTCGTAGCGGGCTGAAATTTTCAATACCCTCTGGGGCAACCTTTGCGCATCTTTTGCCGAAAAAATTGATCGGGTCATGTCAGGTCACGGAGTTATGACGTCATAAGAGGTACAGCCTCCGGCCGACAGTTACCAAACGTGTGCGCCGAATCCCTAGGTTTTCTGCCGGTGATACCCACATTGTTTGATGGATCATGATGAAACTTCCCATGCATGTTGGGGCAAGCATTGGCTATCGTGTGGTGCAAGAAAATTGACCGGGTCAGGTCAGGTCACGGAGCTATGACGTCACAAGAGGAACAGCGTCCGGTACTATTTTTGAAAAGCGTCCGAACCACTATTTTGCTAATTCTTGTCACCTCAATGGGAATATGCAGCAATATTAGCTTCTATAGGGAGCAAATGGACCTCCCAAATCCAAAAATACAATCAGATCTCAAAAATTTAAATTTTGATTTTTCGAATTTCTGCCGCCGACTGTGACCTTGCCGACTTCCGGCGCTCCCAACGCGCCATGTTTAGAGCTAGGGAAACGAAATACATACCAAACGATAGAGAATTGATCAAGGAACACGATAGTGAAGGTTTCAAGTCGATATCTCCCACCGTTTTGCCGCAATCGCCGCGGAAAGTTGAAAAGTTTGATTTTTTCGGAAAATTTGACCTTTGACCGGTCATAAGTAGGTCAAATGTTGACCTAGGAGCAAAAAATATACCACCAATCGCGAGATCTCGTTGAGAGCAATCCGTTGGTTTTTTCCGCTAAGCTCTACGACCTTCCGTTTCGAAACGCCAGGGGGGGTCGTAACACCCCCCCCCCCCCTGGTCGTTCGTGTTATGAGAAATGGCCTGGTCGTGCGAGGGTTAATCCACAATATGGAGCCAAAAGAACTGCATTGATTTATTTCCTGACAAGTCTATGCAGTGTGTACGAGTAACTACGAGTAACTACTGTATGTGCATGATTATCAATGAGCGAGCGAGGGCAGTGAGCGGGCGAGTACATCTGTGGTAGTTAGCAGAACACTATTAATTTACATAGAAACATTTTCAACTATATTACATAATTTGACGCGTATCGACGAGAGCTTGGACGAGAGCAGCATAATGCACGTAAAACAAATGCTTCACATAAAGTTTGTGACAAAAGTTGCTGTAGAAAACTGTATTTAAGAAAACGTCTATTTTGATGGTTCATGCGCTCTGAAAGTCGAATTGTTTCATAAGCTCAAATATATAAGGGAGCAATGACAAGATTCCAAACCCTATCTATTACCTTTTTCATGATTCTGTGCTTCTATTTGGCTCGAGTTGAACCAATCTGTTCCAAACCGTCAAAATCGCAAATTGAAACGGTAAGCTTTTCCGCGCGTTGATTCACCACACAATACAGGCGCCTCTGCTAATCAATGCTGGTCGAACATAATGATGTCATCTGTTTCTTTGCAAAGTGTGCATACCTTGCCAGTGACGTTGCACGTAACGGTACCGCTTTGTCTTTTATTTACTAAGCATCGATGCCCATGCTGATAGCGTTTGGCGCTAGGACGTTTGTAAGTCCAATGCTTCTATTATGACCTAGTACATTTTACAACGTTAAATTTAGCTTTTTATTCTTTTTAGTTGTTTTAGGGCCTTGATTTAACCATGCGTTCTAGCTATATACCAAGCAGTTCAGGACCGCACGTGATGAGCGGAAAGGAGAGACAATGAGTAGGCTCCACCACAGCTGCTGTTTCGCACCAGCTGAGTCAGGTGGGGCTGGCAACCCAGCAGCTCAACCGGTCACTCGCAGAGGGGTGTGCTCCTAATGGTGTCGCCATACTCGGTATACTATGGTTGAGCGATGACCGTATGCCTAGAATAGAGGACTGGTTACCTGCTCGTGAATGAGGATGAGTTCATCCTTGTGCTGGAGAGGATCATACTTCAAGCAGATGATGGCGTCACATGATAAGACGAAACTGCTCCAAGAAGCTTCCAAACAGTCTTCAACACTCAGCCTGTTACATAGTAACATTTATCTTGAAATATCACGGTATAATATGAGCCGGGCAACATCAGCAGCGACACCAGAAATAGGAAAAGAGTATGTTCCGCTAACCTCCCTTAGATACCACTCTGCAGCGGCCCATTCCACGCAGGCTCCATTGATTATGGCCAACGGAGCCACCACAGCGCCACCTGGCGAAAGATACCTGAAGCTATGCGCCATCTATGAGGCAGGTACCAGTTACCACACTAAGTCGAGCATAGTTGATACCATTTCATCACTTCGTCTATAGCTGAACTTAGAAATTGATAAAAAGAATAGCAAAAAAGAGGGACAGTTGGCCTGGATTGATAAGCAACATTTGAGGAAATACGAAGACCAATATTCGCATTTTGTACTTTTTAAACAACATAACTTTTGAGCATATTCACGAGTCGGTATTTGTATGGTCAATATAGGAAGTGGAAGGTGGATGAAATAGGCCAGAAGTGTAATGCTTTAAAGGTAGTGTGCCACCTTTGAAAGATTTCCCATTTTATTTTTCCTAGGATAAGAAGCTTCTGTTTTTACCTAATATCGCAAAAGAAATCAAAAATGGGCCTGGAATAGTGCCTTTTTCGCCTAAAAGCTTATCGGTTTTTAGATATGTATAACAACTGTAGTGGGCTCACCTGCAAACAGGGCGTCGGCAACAATCGCGAATGCGGCGCACATGTGACAATAAGCAAAGGTCATTATAGTGTTACGACCATACGACGTACGGGAATGAGTTATCAGCTGTCTAATCGTAGACAACACAATGTCGAACCTTAAACTGTAAGCCTGTATTGGTATTGTTTCTTTTATTTGACTGTCGAACATTATTCATGGTTTGAAATATGATTTTATGTAAAATAATTGATATGAAAAAGCCGTCTCATAAGTTATGACCCCATTTCACCACACGCAAGTGGCAGAAATGACAATGATCAGCTGACGCATTTTTCTTGGCCGAAGTCAGAGCGCGCAGCCCGACGCACCACCACCGCACCACAAAGTATGAGCAGAAGCCGCGCCCAAAGCCAGGG